CTCATGTCACCGGGCGATGATCCTGGGTGGCTCGAGAACTGGCTCCTCATAGAGCGCTTCTATTTGAAAAGTCAAATCATTCTTTGAAATGTGCAGCGATGCCGTAATATTGCAAGGGATAATCAATGGTCGATTTCAACGTTGTGTTCTGTCGCAGTCCAGTTCAGGTTCACTTGACGTCGTGGTTATGTTTGCGCTTAAGATTCTAAGTTTAAGAGTTATTGTCGACGGGAGATTTGGAAATTTTTAATCTGCAGCTTTTCGAGATCTCGTCGACTATATGAGAGCCAACGATGAAAAGATACGGAGCTACAAGAGCACGTTTCCGATCGTCGCCTGTCTGGTCGTCGCTGCCTCCGGCAAAAGATAGGGGTTGGGAATCTCCACCTTCCGAGGTTCGAGTCATTCGAGTCCCTCATTCCAAACATTCATTCGCAATGTCTTTGGGATCAGATAATGCAAGTAGGGGGATACCTCGTTGAACATTTTCAATGTTCGACATGTGTGAATGTGAAAATCCCAGTCTCAGTGCAGTCTAGTCATCGTCTCACTCGCCTGAAATTACAAAAAGACTGGGATGGTCGAATGGTTGTAGTTGAATCTCAGCGTGAGTATGACGGAACCTATTGCTTCGGATGGCAGTCTCTCCAAGGTCGTTACAGCTATGGAAGATGTCTTCTTGTAAATTTCATAAACGGCACGACTCAGAACACGAAGAACGCATGATTCACCTTCTGAAAGCACTCCCTGGTCTTATGCTTCTTCACTAGCGCTTGACTCATAAGCCAGAGGGACCAGGATAGAAGTAAAGAAGCTCCCTGCTGAGCAAAGTTCTCGGGGGTGATAAAAAAAAAAGCACTGAGAGGAGGCGCTAGGCACTTGCAAGGGTCCCCCGTAAAAAGCGCCATTGTGCTTCTCCCGAGTTCATCGAACGCCTGGCCTGGTCATCAGAATGCGGACCGTCTCTTTCTCAATCCCTGACATAAAAAAAATGGATTCTCACAAAGGACCAATCGTTGGACAGAGATTGGCACTCATCGAAGCTTAGACCCCTTACTGAGTAGAAAGTTTCTTAATTGGTGCTCCAAGTAGTGCCTCGGTGTAACGAAAAGGCTCAATATCAAGCACGAGTCATTATAAATATGCAAAGAAAGTTGATGTTATGCACCTTTTCCAGTCACTCACGCAAAATCTCAGGGATGGGACACTAATTTCTGTAGGCTCAGTAAATCATCCACAGCTATAGGATGTCTGAAAACAATAGATAGTAATAGTAGCTCGGGGTTAAATTGCTTAATTTGTTTTTTGTGTATTATAGATAAAATGGCATCGTCCAGCATCGTCCTTACAATAAAGAAAAAGGATTTCGTGGCAATACATCACCGAATCATGTCTACTATGTTTTTTTGGCACCCTGCATTGTGACCAATTTCAAAGAAAATTTTCGAAAGTCCGTGATGGCGTGGTCCATCAGCCGACTTTTCGGTCACAGCAGACACACCTTTCCTCAGGTTTCACTTTTTCCTTCGCTTCCAGGAAAGAACGGGGGACATTCCTCGCAGCCTCTGCGATTTGGAATCTCATTACTGATTTCGTCCAGCACCTTTACCAGGAGAAAATATTGCATGTCCTAGTAGGGACGAATCATTGGAACCGTTGACCGTGTCCTGTGGTTTTGGGGCATTGTGACTGCATATCTGCGGCTGGAGGGAACGTATGGATCACAGAAACTTCAAAGTTTGAATTTTTTTTTCGAAGAGGAAACTGTCAAATGGCATCAATGCTAGGGCACTCCAGTACCCGAGACAGCTATTTGAATCCTTAAGTAGTTCTTACGTATAGTTAGAAACATTAGGGAGTTTTTTTTAAATAATTATTATTATGAGGAACATGAACGAGGCGCGTCTGTAATGGTGGATGAGTTGACCTAGAGGAAAAAGCAGTGTTAACCACATTTTAGTTAATTGGACAGACAGAGTGTTCATTTCATACTGTAGACAGCTCTTTTTTTTTAAATTTCTTTGTTCCCCTACGTTTGCCTAAAATCCCAGTCTCTCGATAATGAAGTATGAATACGATCCGCGTACTTGGAACGACGGGGAGATGTACGAAGAAAAGATGACGGATGACAAAGGCGAGGTCGGAAATGAGCGGATCAGTGGCATGGCACCGCCCACTGCTTGTAAACAAACTCTTGGGTTCACAACAGAGCGCACATGCTAATCCCGTGACGCAACTGGTGGAGGGAGGGATTCCCTGGTACGCCATTGGCTGCTGACCCACCTCAGCCCAATGTGGCGGCGTTCATTGTTGGCGTGTCCTCCCATTATGCTGTATAGTCTTCCTTCACCTACATATACCTCATGCGCAGCTCGGTCTCTGCATGTTAAAGTCATGTGATGCCATTCATTCCAGTACTGCCAGTAGTGAGGGCCCCCTACGCAGTGGCGTTTGAGCTAGGCCTCGTAGTCCATGCGATCTGACAGCCCATCGTACAAATCTGGGGTCACGGTTAATGATCACGTGGCAAGTGGGCTGGGTTGAGTAGTGGGCTGAGCCTGGGGCCCACGGGATCAGAGTCACGTAGAGTTGTTTTAAGAACTGTGGCCTAGGCCTCAGGATTCTCTCATGCTGGGCATTGGACGGTAGGCCTGGGTCAGGCTTTCCCTACGATGCAGAGAAGTTAAAACGAACTCGAACGTTAGAGAGATGTTTAACGTTAAGCCAAAATGTGATCAGCCAGGCTGCCCTAATGTGAGCACGTCTAGGCCTAGGTCTACAGTATGTTCTATCTAAGGCTAATTTTAGGCCTATGCCTATACAGTCAGCATAAGACCAACATTGGGGCGTACGTTGACCTGACCACCTCGGTTCACAATTGAAGTTTTGCTCCTATTGGTTCTGTAAGCTAGCCTATTGGTCATAGGCCTGCAGTGATTTTATGCCATCAGATAAGTTGTCATTTCAGTTTATCATCGATTCAACAGACTTGTGTTGGAGATAAACTGAAACTGGACTTGAAGGAATTTGAGACAGAAACCATAGTTAATTGAATGACTTTGAATCACTGATATCCCCATTGCATTCAGAAGGGTAAGACATTTCCTAGGATATTACATCTTCATGGGTTGGCATTTTTCTCCCACTTGAATGTGGTGGTTGTATATTAGTGTGGAATGCTGCCAGTTTTGTTTGAATGGGTTTAATTAATGAAAAACTAAGCAAGCAAAGACTTCTGGGCATTGTACGTCTTGCACACACCACCAGAGCACCATGCACACAGTGTGCACTCGCATAGTACATCTCGTGCACACTAAGGCAACATGCCCCTATGCAAGAGGGTTATCAAAGCCCAACATGGCACATGTGAGGAAGTTGTTGCTGTGTAAAGTGGGGGACCGTTGGAGCCATCTTCACTACCAGCGTAAAATGCACGGGCACGGCTTTACTGTCCTGACCTGACCTGACCGGAGCCACTGTTCTCGAGCAATTTCCTTGCGTTTTCAACGTTTTGACATGCTCATGGCTCGTTCGTTGTTTTATGCAATTTATGCCGTTCTATGCATTCACATTTTCCCAGCAGTGTTATAAACTATAAACTATGCGTTCTTCCTCCAGTGAGAGAGGGCTTAAATAAATGAAAAAGTATTCCAGATGTGGAGGTCGGTTTTCATGATTTGACATCAATGCCTCACCAGGGCGTGGGAGGTCAGCCGGGGATGAGACGCACTCTAACGTAGGAGAGGACAAGGGTGTACAGTGTACATGGGTGGGTGCAAGACGTACTCTGGGTGGGGGGGTGTGCGCAAGACGAACAATGCCCAGACTTCTTAGACTTTTGCTGACTTGCACTAAGTCATACTTGCTAACAGGAGAATTTTATCTCTTTATAAGATTGGGCTCTTATATGTAGCAATAGCCTTTATAGCTTCTTTTTCAGATGAGTTTGGCATTATGTATGAACGATCTCATGCATGGATGTTATAGTCAACTGTAAAGCTTTTGAACTTGGCTGAAAATAACATGTATTGTTAATTCATGTTGAAGTAGTCCTAGTAGAAAGCTACCTGTACTCTGCTTGGACATAAGTCCATGATTAAGTAGGCCTAGCTCTCCAGTCTGTAGCAGCCCTACTTGTGATAGGAGGCCTGGCCTGATTTTAGCTGTACATATACCATGCTTTTCAATTGAGTTTGACATTTTTTGATGGGCTCTGTCACACAAGGTAAACCGTGTTTCTCTTGACCACCTTGATCACTATTTTCATGTAGGAAACTGGTAATAAAAATAAATCTTCAGGCTTATATATCAAGGGTGAATGGTGGTTTCTTCCTGTAAAGGTAACAGATCTAAGTTTGTCAAATTAAGAATTTAATTAATTTTAAATTATGCATCCCAAAAATTTAGCACCCCCCCCCCCTCCCCCTTTCCTTCTATTTTGAGATGGAAGACATTACTGGAAAAAGATGAAATATTTCCAATGGCTTTTTCCACTGGAAAAATCTAGTCACCAACTCTGACTTATGCCTCTTAGGCCCTCTGAGAAAGTCATCCAATGATGTTTGCCAGATTTGCTATATCTTCAGAAAAATTTTGTGCATTGAAAAAAAGGAGGAAAAACTTGTGCCCTGAGGACATGAATATTTCCAATTCCTAAGTTACTGTGTGTGATACCTGTAAAATCAGCTCCCAGGATGCCTCTGGAACTCCTTGAGGTGATTCAAGCAATCCAGCCAGAAATGGTTCATGTTGTTGCATTTTTGGACTTGCTGATTATTCATTAGACCTATCCATCTTAATAGGCTACTTGTAATAGCCTATCTTTGAAGGGATACTTTCATTGAGTCTTGCTCATGCATTTTTTTTTTTGCTATTACCTAGTATTACTTAGTTTTAGGTTTGGATCAAAACCAACTACGAAAAAACCAAACCATATGATATGCTACCACACTGACTCTAACATTGACAAGGCTCTGCTTAATTAAAGAAATGCCAGTTTCTTGCAGATATTGGAGTCAAAGTTGTCTTGAAGTTTACAGGCAGCTTTGTTTGGGATTAGGCATAGGCTTGAGCCTATGGTAGGCCTGTATTAGTTCCTCATTACTTTGACTGCTACCCCAAAGAAGGGTACCCCTCTTTCTTGTGACCATGTCTTCCACTCCACCATCCATGAAAGGGAGTCGGATTGAAGAATCCCTAGGAGGTAAGTATCAATATGTGAGACCATTTTCATTAGATATGAAATTCTGAAGAACTTGACTAGAATAAGTGGTAATGCTGCTGGAATCTGTTTTTTCTTCTTCAGAATCATGGGTGGATCTAGCCCTGCAACAGAATGCACAGAGCCCTGGGAGAGTTACACCAATGTCAGCCATAGCCAGTGAAGAGTACTTGCGCCTTTTGAGGGAAGCTCAGAGAGAAAGCAACCAGTCATCTGCTCGTGTGTCTGTTGCTTCATCTGCCCGTCACTCACCACGAGAATCGTAGGTTACTACTTTCGACTCACAGATTTTCAGTGAAGCCAGTGAGCATCATTTACTCCAGCATGAAAAAATTTTTTGCTTTGTTTTCAGCCCCAAATCTCCACCCAATAGTCCAAACACAGAATTCTCAGTGGAAACTGAAGAACTGAAGAGTCTTTATATCAATGACCATGAGAAGGTGAGAAACCACTGAATTGTGTCTGGATTGGGGAGTATGTTGATAATAGTGAGACAACAAGAATTTCAGTGACAACTTCTCATTTTTTAATGAAATTTATTGCAGGAGTTGAAGAATGCTGACTGGGTTTGGGATTGGAGTAGTCGACCTGATTTATGTCCACCAAAGTGAGCAGTTACTGTCTCCCCATTCTAAGTTCATGAAGTTGTTTCCTGAGTTTCTCCAATATATATTGGTCTTTTTTTCTTTTTTAAAGGGAATGGAAGTTTAAACATCCAGACAAGAAGACATATAGTATTCGGAATGCTAGGGTGGGGAAGCAGCGCCTATTCTCAAAGGAGGTGCTTTACACCCTTGTTATCACCAATATCATGTCTCTCATCATTGGGACTGGGATTGGGTGAGAAAAATTATCCGATTGAGTATAAAGTTGAAGCAATGTATTCCTGTTAAACTTGTCTTTGCACCTTTTTCAGTCTGTGGTTGAGCCGGCGAGGATACCAAGTGGCAGCTTTAGCCCTTGATTGATACAGGGAAACAAGAGCAAAAAAGGGAAAATGTTCTTTTTGTGCTTTTGCCACTTTCACAAGCTCTTCTCACCTATGCTATCTGTTCTAGCAGATTTGTGTCCTTAGCTTAGGGATTCTGGGTACTTTGCAAGCATGAATGGTTGAACATATTTCATGGTTTACATATGAGAATGTGGATGTTCCTGTTGTCTTGCCCCCCTTTTTTTTTTGCACTGTGAAATGGGGACAAGTTCCTACCATAAACCTGAGAGGCAATCTTGGAGGAGCAACTAGTCTCCCAGATTGATGGACTGGATCTGTCCTGTATGTTCCCTGTTCCTGGAATCAGAGGTATTGCTAAGGGATTCTCAGACAGAGGATCAGCTGTGATGATTTGTGATGTATGCTTCATCTCATCTTGTCCCTCTTTTCTTTCTAACCAGTGACTTCTTTTTGAATTCGTGCAGTTTGTATGATGTTGAGGATTTTGTGACGTAACTTTTCAGTGTGGATTCAGCCATGTTATGATTGGCACGTTTCACATGCTATTGAAATACATTCATCCAGGAGTTAAAATTTTTTTCTTGGTTTACAGTTCTTGATTCCTGTTATGAGCCTATTTTTGTCAAATTCCTTTTCAGCTTTGAAGGAAAGAATGATATCTAACTGGGATAATCACTCCTTCAAAATGATTAAGTAAGCATGACCAATGAGGAGGCAAAAGTCGACTACAAGGCACCTACCTGCTAAAAAGAGACATTTCCAAGGGCCATCTGAAGTTTATCTAAGCTGATATTTAAAAACAAAGTGCAAATAAAATGTCAATTTTAATCTAAACTTAAAGTACACCAAGGACTATGATGTAGCAAGCTCTAGCTCAAAATACTTTTCCATTATGTGTGCCTTGTGGATATTCAAACAGTATAACTTCTTCATTCTGAAAGAATTATGGAATAATGAAGCCTATATATATATATTTTTTATTATGATTCATCATTCAATATTTTCAATGCAAAGGAGAGTATGAGGTTTCAGGTCAAGAAACAGTAAATGGATAATTTTCTCTTAAGTCCCACAATATAAGGCTCATTCATTTTAAATGCAGTCTAACACACATGGCAATCACTGGACATTTTCATCATTAATTACATTGATTGATATATCACAGGAGGGGATTATGCCACATCCAAGAGTTTGAGAACCCAGGACCATTTACTGGATACTCTGGACATGTTAGGGAAATCCACCACCATTCCATCCTTCACTGACTTCCACTGCAAAAACAAGACTCTCAAAGTTGATATATATAGAGACTATTTTCAAGTTATGGAGAAAAATTTTAAAGCATGAAAACTGACCCGAAGGGGCTTGTCATATCCAAGCATGTATACTTCAGTCGTCTCAGTAGGTTTGGGAGCTCCCAAATGCAAGACTTCATTGTCTGGCCATTCAAGTGCTATTGCATACACAGCTGGTGAACTCTTTCCTTGTGTGTACCTGAACAGAAGTTAACCTTGACAATCTCAAAAAAAAAACTTGCTTCACATTACACTTGATTTAGTTAAATACTGGCTTATAAGTCCATACCAAACAAAGGATGAAAGGGTGTCATTTTGGGCCTTAGGCCAAGGTCTTGTCTTGTAAATTGCCTCCCCATTGACTTTCAACCACTCCCCCATCTGGTGCAGCCTTTCTTCAAAAATTGGAGAAATTTTGCCATAGCTTGTTGGTCCAACATTGAGCAACAGGTTTCCTGTGAAGAGTAATCATATATTTTTATCAGGGCACCATAACAATAAAGTTAGGAAATGAATGGACTGAGGAAAACTTATCTGCTAGCTTCATTTGGAGGGAATATGATAGTGATTACATTATCAAGTTGAACTTGCTGCTGGTGCAGGAGTGGCCTTCCAATCTGTGCCCTTCTTCATTTAAAAAATTAGCCCAAAAATTCAAGGACACCAACCAAATTACAAAATGTTCGACCTATAGGTCTGGTTTCAAGGTCATTCAAGATGTTTTGAGGGCTGCAATCTCCCTTTCCTGGATGCATCAGTAGGGGCTCTCTTAATGTTCTAGTTTTATCAGGAACAATAAAAATTCAGCTTTTATAACAACCAGGAGCCCATGGCTCAGCTTACCTACATGGAGCAACCCAAATTGTCTTACTGATGAGGGAGCATTTTTGAGAAGTATATCACACTGCCAATGCTTTCAATCCAACATATAAAATGGATGGTTTGTACCTCCACAGCTGACGACTCCAACAAGCATCTTCAAGATCTCCTCAATAGAGTAAAAGTCAGCAAAACGTGCTTCCCGGCGATACCCCCAAGATTCCCGGTCAATAGTTGTGCAACTTTCCCATTTATGCTTTTGTAGGGTTCCTGGAATGGTTCAATACATATTGAATATACCAGTATAGCTTGAAAATAGCATGGATAAGATTTCAAGATTTCACTTCCTATATCATCAATGAAATGTCATTAATCTGACTGAGTTGAAGTATGAGGGTTAATGCCAAATATCTCAATTACCATCATTTAGGAGGAACATATATAAAAATAGCAAAATTAAAATAATACTGAAACTTCCAGATCCACTTAATCATTCTCAATGCTAGTTCATTTCTCTCTCAGGTGCACTTGCTAAACCTTGCATGTCATTCCATACCCATTTTGCATGAAAGGAGATGGAATAATAATAGCAAGTGAAAGCATACCTGGATTGAATCTATCAGCACAACTATAGTAGCCTCCATGCTTGCAAGGGCATCCTTGTCCCCATCTGTCATTTGTGACTACAATGTCCTTGACTGGGCTTTCATTATACAGCCATGCCAGGAACCCAGTACTGTTCCAGTACTGGTCTGGGGCCTCCCAGTCTCCATCAGACCAGACAACTTCAGGGTGATATTCCATCACCTATTGCCAAAGAAAATATCATTTTAGACATGCTCACTAATGTCTCACATGCATGACAAGGAAGGAATGAAAAGTGAAAGTCTGTACATCATCCCTAGGGGTTGGAATGACATTTATTTACCAGTTCATAAAGTTCTGGGAGTGCCTTTGATTTGACAAAATCCTGTGTCTTGAACCCAGACTCCTTATCCTTCTTATACAAGGGATGGAACCAATCGAACAGTGAATGATAGATGCCAAAGTGCATGTCTGACCCATTCCGCACTGCAGCTGCAAGTTCACCTAACAATGACAAATTCAGAGAATAAGTGAAGACAGGACCACATGGTCTATGGTGACCACTGATATGGCATTAACTCTTAACTGACTTGCATGTCTGACTTGTGTATAAAACACTATTGACTAAAGCCTGAATACTGAAATCTCATTTAGGCAAGACAAAGCTAAAGCTAAAGAGCTCATTTTCTCCACACTAGGAGCCTAACTATTCTTAATATCAAAATAACAACTGAAAAAATCAAAACTGAAGGAAACATTGTATATGTGAAGATGATTCCTAAACTGAATGAATAATAACTCAAAAACTAACATGATTCTAATTTGCAAAGTGAGGATAGACAAAAGACCCCTGTATTAATGGTGCAGAAGCTGATATATGTGTTGAAGAGGCAAAGAAATTCAGCAAATAAAGAGCAGCTGGCACTTTCAGGAAGAGAGTTGATAAATGGTCTCAGAAATAAGTTTTAGCAAAAAATTCCCATGTTCAGCAAAATTGGAAACTTAACAGGGCTTATTTCAAAGAATTTACATTAAGATACAAAAAATGGTATGTTATTTTGATCATTCAGGGAAAGTTGAAGCCTACCAATTTAAAGAATGGAGGCAAATGAGAACACCCAAGAAGGAGCATCATCTGCATGAGACAGGAGGAGCCAAAGGTGGTGGTGAAAGGAATTTAAGTCAGAGAAAATATTTCAGCAACAATGAAACCATGCAGTCTCAAATGAAACCTTTCAAGTACTCAGCATTACTACAAAACATGCTTTAGATGTTAAATGGCTCAACATATTTGTTAACATTGCTTTGATTCTGTGAATGAAAAAAAATCTAATTCCTTCTCCTATTATACATTTTTTTCACTGAACTACAAGAAACAAAAGTTACTCTTTTGAATAAATTCAAGACAAATAGCATTTAAATGTGAAAATTTGAACAAGGCAGATTATGCTGCCAATTTGGCCATTTATTTTCCAAAAAGGAAGTGGCAATGGCAAATGCGGTATTCAATTCCTTTCAAAAATGTAAATTTTGGACTGAAATTAATTTTTTGGTGTGCTGTATAATTAGCATTGCAAATTGATTTATATTCTTGAAGAATTACTGCATGTTGCAGATTGAAGACATTTTAGGGTATGAAGGAGAGGACATTTATATAGGAAATGTCGAATTAAAATCCTGAGCCCTGATCTTGCCTGCTCAACTGACTCACCAAGCAAGTCTCGCTTGGGTCCAACATCCATGGCATTCCAACTGAATGAATACTTTGAAGGGTACATAGTAAAGCCCTCATGATGTTTTGATGTCACCACAACATACCTGCAAGAAAAAGTAGCAAAAAAAACGCCAATGATGCTAGGTGCTGATGTGTTATCATTACAAATGGAAGCTTAGGTAAGAGATAACACACTGTGATGAAAAGATCAGATTATTAAAGTAACAGGAACATTCCCGGTAACCAATTGGTGCAAGGTAGGAAATTTCTCATGATAATATATTTCAAGAAAAATATTTTTTCCTTGAGTCCATTCAAATTCTAGGTACAGCATACCTCTTTCCAATACAGAAGAAAATCAAGCTGAAGATAACATAAATAATGCAAATTAACAATTGAAATATAATGAGGTATTTGAATTAGAGAGTGCAGTTAAGTATTTAAAAAGAAAAGAAGGAATACTATTCTAATAGGGGCTTAAATGGCTAAATATTGACTATGTCCTAGTATATTAAAGAACTGCAGAAAAAAGAAGACTACTGAGTACCAAGCAACATTATCCCATAAAGTTTCCCACAAATCTTCATATAATTTCTTAGATGTAATGCTGTTATCATGGATGTAATGCTGTTACAGAAGAATTAATAAGTTTCAATAATAGCCTAGCATTAGAAATACCAACAATGAAAAAAATTCATGGCATTACTGAAGAACTACCTAGAGCAGTGGTTCTCAAATCTGTGGTCTGCAGACCACCGAGCACACCTTCTATGGGAGTAAAAGGGAGTTTGAGAACCACTGACCTAGGGAATGTCAAATTAGGTTCTAGGTTTTTTGGGAGTCAAAAATGGAATTTTTTTTTCTTTAGATCTCTTTTGATTATACATTTTTTGCAGCTTTGCATGATTTATTTCAATTCCTTTCCCCCCTTGTTCCTTTTTTCCATTTGTTATTCATTTTCCTTCTGAGGTTTTATACTGGGTGGGCCACAACAATGTAACAAATTTGAAATGCTTTAATGAGTGAAAATGTATTAGTAATTTTTTGAAGATATATATATATAATTGGTCTATTAAGATCTAATTAAAAGTATTTTTTTCTGCATGTTGTAAAATAAAAAAAAACACCTTTCATGGGAAGTTGGGGAATGATATTGAATAGGACAATGTAAATTTCCTGCCATGTGTTGTTGGTAAGCATTTTGGATACCTATTGCCACGTTAATTTGTTTACAAACAAATTAGGTATTAGGTACTTTGTAAGTTGCTATCCTTAAGGGTTTCAAAGACACACATCCTTCAGAACACAAGTAATAGTTTATTCCTGAAATTTTGTCAGACAAGTCTGTCTGGATCTGTGTGGTTGATTAGATACAGCACTTCCCATCATTGGCAGCAAGCATCCAAAGATTGTATACTGGCACTCAATATTTTGACATTGCATTGAAAAAAATTTGTTTACAGGTTCCTAAGACCCAATCAATTGACCTTTTCAAGAAATCAGCTACAGAGGCTTGATGAAAGAGCTTGTTAATTTCTTGAAACTACTTCATATAGTGTGTGGTCTGCAGACATGTAAAGTTGTGACCTTTTTTTTTTACAACTCAATAAGTGCGGATCTTAATCAGATGAATTAACCCAGTGGTGCCCAAACCGTGGCCTGCGAGGTGCTTCCAACTGGCCTGCGAGGCGTGAAGGGAGAAACAAAAATATTCTGGCTGTATTGCAACTGGAGGGGCCACATCTAAATGACCTGGGCTAAGCCGAGCAAAAGCAGCGATTCTTATCGTCTCGAGGTGGAGGTCGGGAGGTGGGGAAGTTAATAATCCTGCCCTGGAACTTTCTTTATTTTGTTTTGTTTCATAATCTGCTTACAATAAAGTGAACCCTTTCTCAACAGGGGGCACCTCGACCAAGGCCCTAATGAGCCGGTTGGAATTAACGTCGAGCCCTATCTTTTGTGGCTCCTCCAGTTGCAGAACAGCCAAAGCAACTTCATGCGCAGGTGCACATGCCTTCTTTCATTCTCAGTTGTTCCAACTTGAGGGGTTTTCAGTACGTTCTGTGAACAAAAATGAGTTTCAGCAAGCCAAGTTTGAGAAAACACAAAGGTGATGACAGTGTGGAGTGTCGGGAATTTAATTCCGAGTGGGAAGACAAGTACATGTTCACTGCCGGAAAAGGAGGAAAGCCGGTGTGCCTGGTGTGTGGTTTCTCTATGTCTGTGTTGAAAAAATACAACTTGGAACGGCACTACAACACGAATCACACAGGCCTGGATGCGAAGTATCCCATCAGCTCTGACCTCCGAAAGGACTATATTGCTAGGAAAAAAGGTTCATTGGAAACTCAACAATCCCTATTTGTCAAGAGACATGAAGAAAAGAAAGACATGGATGTAGCTTCCTATGAGATAGCTCTCTTATTAGCAAGGAAGAAGAAGCCATTTTCTGATGCTGAAGAAATTGTAAAACCAAGCCTTGAAATAGCAGCCAGA